AATATAATTATATAAATATTGTATTATTATGAAATTAAATATTAGCAATTTTAATTAAAATATTGTATTATAACATAAATATATAAATGTTATATTAATATTCAACTAAAATATTATATTACAATATAATTATATAAATATTGTATTATTATGAAATTAAATATTAGCAATTTTAACTAAAATATTGTATTGTAACATAAATATATAAATGTTATATTAATATTCAACTAAAATATTATATTACAATATAATTATATAAATATTGTATTATTATAATTATATATAATTATATAAATTATATTTTATATAATTATCAATATAATTATATAAATATTGTATTATTATGAAATTAAATATTAGCAATTTTAATTAAAATATTGTATTATAACATAAATATATAAATGTTATATTAATATTCAACTAAAATATTATATTACAATATAATTATATAAATATTGTATTATAAAAATTAAGTACGGCGTATTGTGTTGAAACATCTTAAACATCTTGTGTCATCATGTAAATCTGTCATGACGGTCAAAGTGTTAAGTATTTTGTTAAACAACAATTACGATCATACAACATATTTTCGAAACATCTCCAGCAAGACAGGAACTTTCTTATCCACATTATAGAGCAGAGCATAATCGTTGGGAATATTTCGATTTCCTTCAGTCTTTGTACGTTCGAATAATCCATCATAATCGCAATAGAGAAAGAACTCTAGATTCAGAGTTCCACTTTCTCGAGAAACAATCCCTTATCGTAACTTCACGCCTTCACGCTCGCTCGATGTGACTTCTCGTCAGACTTTATTTGCCCTCTTCTTGCAACTTCCGTCTCCGTGTCACTCGTTCGTTCTCGAACGATCTGCACGATCCCCGAGGGCGGCTCTCCTCCCTCCTTCGGGGGCACGGACGACGAGCGCCTCTTTGGGCATGCAAATCGCATTATTTCCATACGTACGCGTAATGGGCTATTACGCGCACGTGGCGACCGCCAAGGAATTCGACGATAGCGACGATCGCGTCGCACGGTGACAGATCGGTATAGGGTGAGCGACTATGTACACGCGTTATCCGAGTTTCGCGTTTCGATCCCTCGATACGTTCGGGTCGACGAGGAAGAGGAGGAGGCCGATCGCAGCCACACCACGACCGCAAGGAATCCGCCAACGCGCGTCCAATAAACAAACGGTCGGATTGGCGGTCCGATGTCGTCAGCGCCAATTCACCGCATCAATTCGAATAATATCGTTGAGTGGCGTCTCATCGTGTCTCTCGTCTCCCCGTCCCACCCTCCTGCCTCCTGGCCGCTCGATCACGATTTCACGTACCCCGCGCGCGCGTGCCCTGCGCTCGCGTTAACCGGTTAAATACCCTGGCGCCTCGTTGACCGGCCTTACCGTTAAATTAACCGATTTTAAACTCCGGGGGACTGCACCCCGGCGTTCTTTCTCGACGTCGTTTTTCCCCCCTCCTCTCCTCATTGTTGCTGTGATATCGAGTCTTTCGACATTTCTTTTCGCGTTTTCGTCGAGGCTTGATAATTATCACATATATATATATATATAATATATCACATAATATTATATTATATATATAATATAATATATATTATATTACACTAATGTTATATTATTATTACACTAATATAATATTATATATATTATATTACACATAATATATTATATATAATATAGTATAATATATATTATATTACACATAATATATTATATATATAATATAATATAATATAATGTAATCACATAATAATATATAATATATGTATAATGGGCGACGTTAAATGACCTTGAAACACTAACGTTATATAGTTAACTTAATTATTAGTTATTGAACTCAACTTAATGTTAACTCAATATAGCTAACGTTACATCACGTTATACCAAGTGTGAAGTATGACGCGTGATAGCGAGACGCGAGGCATAGAAATTTTGTAAAACTCTCGGTACCGTCGAACAATGTTACGTTTCTTTCATCCCAACCATTGTCAAGTCACTTAATATCTTTGGCCATTCCTGCATACATAAAACGAAACGTGCCCTCGAAACGAAAGAAGTGTATTTGCGCCATTTCTACATATAAAATGGAACTTGCTCTCGAAATAGACGAGCCATTGACCCACGCCACTTTTGCGCCATTAAACGATCCAAATCGTCAAGATCCAGAAGTCGTTCGTTAGAAATCTCTGACGTAGATGCATCTAACAATTATGAGATATCTCATATTCACCTTCTCGGTATGCACTCGCTCACGTTCGAGTTGAAACCATTTCCTCCGGATCCGACGGCGTCCGTCGAGATCTCGCGTTATGCGAATGACGTCGATCCGCCGTCTCCACGACGAATTAAATCGCGTTACGAAATACCGGAGCTTGCAAATCCGGAGAGAGGAAAAGCTACTTTCGCGACGGTTACTGCCCACTGTCCACGGTCGTTATCTTCGTCGTCGTCGTCGTCGTCGTTCACGAGAGGAAGCACGAGGCGCCATCGCGTCTATTAAACTTGTAATCACCAGCGGGGAGACCGCTTTCTCCACGCCGAGTTTTTGATCGACCAACGACGAGACGGAGATTTATGTTTAATATAGTTTCGAAAGCGAAACGATACTTGATACTAGAACTTGAATGAATGAATCTTTATTTCAGCCTTTCGGTCTAGAAATAGTCACCTCAGTGACTTACATTACTCTTTACATTTTGTTTTCCGTTTTAATTCCCCTGGTTGTCAAGTTTTCCCTTATTACTTTTCCCTTACATCTAGTATTGCACGCTTTGACCTAACTTTATACTATACATAGACTGATTAGACTAATTGAGAATGATATTTGCACACTGCCTCTACACTTAACATATTTCTCTTTGGTACTATACTTTAGTTTGATAGTTTACTTTAGTTGTGTCTCTGTATTTAATTTTCTGTTACTTTTTCTCAATTTTTCTGAGCCAGTGATACTAGAACTTCCTTCATCTCTGAATCAGTTAATATCGCGCCTCACATATAATTGTACGAGCCTCCGGTTGTACATTCATGACTGATTCACGATTGATCGTGACTTCTGTTAGTCTTATATTCCGTCTCTTATTGTCGGAGCAAGTAAGAGTATTATACGAAGAAAGCTAGCGGGCGTTTCTTATCGGAATTCCACGACGTGTTGGAATTCTTCCGATTGGACGTTTGTGTACGTGGTAGGTAATGTCGAGTCATTCGGAAAGCACGTTGATTAACTTTGTCAATCGGAGTGCACAGACGAATGATGAATATTCAAATTTATCTTGGAATCTGCGATGATTTATTTCACGATGAACGAATTTGCAAAGATAAGACGTTCGATATCAATATATCTACATACCTGTCTTAGATATAATTTGATATTGATAATCGTATGAAAAGTGGAGTTGATTTAGCTTTCATTTAACTCTTTACATTGCATACAAGTTGTGTCTATGCTACAATTTGTTTTGTCAAGTTTTTCTGTCGTTGAGTAACTTTTAGAACATTGTGAACAGGAAAACTGAACTTTGGAATAAGTTTTTGTGGGAAGTCTAAAGATGCGAAAGTTCAACGAATGCACGCACAATATGCAAAAATATATAAAACATCGAACGTTGTTACAATATTTAGTAGGAAGAAATGAATCTCTGGATTTGCAAGTGCAATAAAGAAAAATAGGACGTGGTGCAACACAGAGGGCAAGAACGTATAAATATTCTCCTGTCAAATGTTCATTTTACGTACGTGTCTCTTCGAATATTGATCGCTACGTTCAAGTGATATTTAGCTGTCTTTTTCAGGATTGCCAAGAACTAGAATTCCAACGAATTTGTTCGACTGTCAGCGTATTCTTGTAATCTCCCCTCCTTCTCGTGTCTCCTCCGGCAGCGAAAAACCGAGAGCATATTTAGAAAAATTCGTTCCGAGACACGATCGATAAGATCCTTTCCTCGGGTCTTTCGTCGATGGACCCGAACTCGGTTCTATATTGCGTTCGGCTTACGTTATCCGCACTCGTGATAATCCCACGATTCTGCGAATCAGCGACGCGACTTTTCTCGCGGGCGAGGGAACAATTTCGCCTGCCGCCTCTCCGAGACT